TATGACATCTTCATACAACGACATCTTCATACAAATGCATACAAATATATGCATACAAATGTATGCATGTGAATCTTAACCTGGGACTATATTTCTTATAAGAAACAAAGACCACAGATCATAATCAAAATGCTATTATCAGTGTATATAGGTCTAAGGACCTAGTAAGGTAGAATCAATAACTAATAATTATAACAATGAAGGTCAAAAAATATAAGTGAAAGTCATCAAGAAAATTTAGAAATTTTGTTCAAAGTAGGGAAAATAGAATACTTGCACAATGAAATATTCTTATAACCAAAGTATAGAAAACTTCAGAAAATATTTTCATTAAAAAGCAATTCAAACAAAAATCAATCCATTTAAAATATATGAAGACAAACTATTTAGAATGTTTATTCTTCAAATTGTTTACAGAATTAATGTAATTCTAATAAAATTTCAGTATGATTTTTTTGCTTTGAAATTTAGAAAACTGCATTAAAATCAGAAGGAAAAATAATCAGATATATATCCTTTTTAATTTGGAAAAGTAAGGAGAATATCATATATTTAGATATACAAATCTGTGGTTACAAGGACGAGGTGAAACTAGATATCAGTTCAATTCAGTTTCTCAGTCATGTCAGATTCTTCACAATCCCATGGAGTGCAGCACACCAGGCTTCCCTGTTCTTCACCAACTCCTGGAGCTTGCTCAAATTCACGTCCATCAAGTCGGTGATGCCATCCAACCATCTCATCCTCGGTTGTCCCCTTTTCCTCCTACCTCCTAGTCTTTCCCAGCATCAGGGTCTTTTCCAATGAGTCAGTTCTTCACATCAGGTGGCCAAAGTATTGGAGTTTCAGCTTTAGCATCAGTCCTTCCAGTGACTATTCAGGACTGATTTCCTTTAAGATGGGCTGGTTGGATCTCCTTGTAGTCCAAGGGACTCTCAAGAGTCTTCTCGAACACCACAGTTCAAAGGCATCAATTCTTCTGTGCTCAGCTTTCTTTATAGTCCAACTCTCACACCCATACATGACTACTGGAAGAACCATAGCTCTGACTAGATGGACCTGTGTTGACTTAGTAATATCTCTGATTTTAAATATGCTGTCTATGTTGGTCATAGCTTTTCTTGCAAGGAGCAAGTGTCTTTGAATTTCAGTCTGATGCCATCAGTCAGATGGCTGCAGTCACCATCTGCAGTGATTTTGGAGCCCCCCAAAATAAAGTCTGTCACTGTTTCCATTGTTTCCCCATCTATTTGCTAGGAAGTGATGGGACTGGATGTCATAATCTTAGTTTTCTGAATGTTGAGTTTTAAGCCAACTTTTTCACTCTCCTCTTTCACTTTCATCAAGAGTCTCTTTAGTTCTTCCCTTTTTGCCATAAGGTTGATGTCATCTGCATATCTGAGGTTATTGATATTCCTCCCAGCAATTTTGATTCCAGCTGCTAGGTATAAGACACGTGATTATGGTGAAAAATGTGTCAGATGTTTAAAAACATGTATCTGTCATGCTTTTTACTCTCTTTGGGGCTTCCCTGGTGGTTCAGAGGTTAAAGCATCTGCCTGCAATGCGGGAGACCTGGGTTTGATCCCTCGGTTGGGAAGATCCCTGGAGAAGGAAATGGCAACCCACTCCAGTATTCTTGCCTGGAGAATCCCATGGACGGAGGAGCCTGGTGGGCTACATACAGTCCACAGGGTCGCAAAGAGTCGGACACGACTGAGCGACTTCACTTTCACTTTCACTTTACTCTCTTTGCTCTTTTTGGAGCTGACCACATTTTTGTTGTTGAATATTATTCACCATAAATCCAAGAGAAAATTTTATGGCAGCTATTTTTTTTTCCATTTATTTTTATTAGTTGGAGGCTAATTACTTTACAATAGTGTATTATGGCGGTTATTTATGGTTTCAGCTGGCCCTGGGGTTGTTATCTGACTGATGATGGGCAGGGCTGGAGCCTAGTATGTTTGGCCACGGGGACCTCGGGTCCCAGGTCTAGCACCTGTGCACTGATATGAAGGCCCATATCCTGGGCGCTCTGGTGTACAGGGCGGTGTCCTCGGGAGACTGAGGGCTCAGGGGACCTTAAGGCAGCCTCACCCAGTTAGCTACTTGTCCTGATGCAGCCCAGTACTGGTGTAAGCACACTGGTGGTCAGGGCGAGGTCCCAGTGCTAACAGACTTGAGGAAAGATTCCAAACTGGCGCTTAGCAGTACCATTGTCCACGTGAAAGAATCAGCTCCCCACAATGAGGCCACTAGTGTCTATATCTCCACAGTGAGCTTCACTTTCCTTCTGCCACTTCTCAAGGCTCTCCAAGGTGAGCTGGTGGGTCTGACCTAAAATTACTGCTTCTGCCTTGAGTCCTGGAATGTGAGAGATTTTGTGTGTGTCCTTCTAGAGTGGAGTTTCTCTTTCCCACAGCCCTCTGACATTAAGCCCCTGCTGCTGCTGCTAAGTCGCTTCAGTCGTGTCCAACTCTGTGCGACCCCATAGACGGCAGCCCACCAGGCTCCCCCGTCCCTGGGATTCTCCAGGCAAGAACACTGGAGGGGGTTGCCCTTTCCTTCTCCACTGCATGAAAGTGAAAAGTGAAAGTGAAGTCGCTCAGTCGTGTCTGACTCTTTGCGACCCCATGGACTGCAGCCTACCAGGCTCCTCCGTCCATGGGATTTTCCAGGCAAGAGTACTGGAGTGGGGTGCCATTGCCTTCTCCGGATTAAGCCCCTACTGGCCTTCAAAACTAAAAATATTCTGGGGGTTTGTCTTCTTGGTACAATACTCCCAGACTGCGGAGCCTATTGTGGGGCTCAGACCTCTCACCCCTTGGAGAGAACCTCTGCAATTGTAACTCTCCTCCCCCTGCACTACCTAAAATACGTGGGTGGAGCTCTCTGAAGTTACTTGGTTATATCAAGATCAGAGGCAAAGCTGTCATTTAAAAGGACCATTTACATCATTTTGAATATGGAGGTGACAGTTTCAAAGGCAGTTACTTGTCAGAATTTGATCACTAAAATCTACACACATTATTTCCAGGTTTAGTATGCCTTCTTTGAGAAACATATTATGCTATAGAAGAACAAACTTCAAGTTTGTTTCTCAAATGCTTTTGTTAAAAGTCAGAATGCTACTTGCCTTGCTATTTGCCCGTTAGTTACTTACATTTTTGATTTAAATTTGATTTAAAATTTTGATTGCATGTTTTATTTAAAAATATGTGTTTACTAATATAGTACCTACCTTTGAAAGCTTATAGTGATACTGGTTGCATAAAATGAGATGCTGTATGTATAATATTTAGCAGTTATTATGATATGTAGTAAAAGGCATGTTCCTTAGTTAGACATGAAATCAACACTATTTTATATGCTGAGATTATTTTGAACCAACATAAAGTGACTCTTATTTTCATTTACATGATCAATGAAGTTTGAAACTGATTCATTTGTAACAACACAGGGCCTTAAAAATAAAAATGCTTTTGCAACAAAATATGCAACATAAGTAAACATCAGATGTTTTTATAATAAATATAGTCTGAAATTTTTAATAAGCTCTATTACACATGAACTTGATAACAGTGCACAGTTTCTCTCTTATTACTTTTATAACAGTGCTTTTAGTATTCCACTGAAACACAGCCAGTGAATGCACAATATTCTTAGTTACCATTATGAGGGGCTCTGTATATTACAGTCTTTTCACTGTGTCTGCTGTTAGCTAGAAAAATGCTGGGAGCAACAGCAGCTACTATCAACAGGGAGCAATATTAATTATTTGAAATGTGCCTCATAAGAGGAATCAGCAGAGTTTATTACAAGTCGAATATTACTTGAAACGGGGAGGTTACTCTAACTGTTATCATAATCTATGTATCATTAACTTTCCTTGTTTAGGAAAAGAGATTAACAACCCTGTAAAGTGCTTTAGTAAATGTATAAAATACAACTGCATATCCCTTGTAGAAAGAAAGTGACAGGTTCTCTACTTGTACCAAATTTTTTTTCATATAAAGTGGCTTTAGTAATTGAACTCTGTAATTATACTTTCTTGCTTTAAAATTCTAATTGCTTACTGGATTATCAGTATACAAGCTATAGCTAATTTGAGCATTAGGAAATCCTTTTGTTTATAGTTAGAATTTTTTTTTTCAGTCAGTAACTTGGTCTTCAAAGGAACTTTAACACTTAAACTCATACAACAGAAAGTGTATTACAAGTTTGTATATGAGCCGGCAAAATGCTTTACAAGAAACAGAGAATGAGCCCATCTACCTGCTTTTTATATTGTGGTTAGTTATTATTTTTCCATCAAATACAATAAGCAAGTAGGAATAGTTTTCAAATAATTAGTAAAATGTTGAAAAGTAGCATAGTAATAAATATAAAGTTAATTAGGATTGTAAATAAGTGCTATCTATATAAGAGCTATTGAAAGTGTTATCTGACATGGATGCCTGTCTGCAGATTGTTTGTTACTGATCTGCCTTGAAATAAGTGCAAAAATTAAGTCAGTGTTTAGAAACATTTAAAGCAAACAGAGTATTTAATGTCTCTTTAGAAATGAAAAGTGGGGGCTGTATTTTATATGTCTTTGTTTTTAGTTTTTATATTTCATTTTTCTTGCCAATCACTTTAATGGTGTTTTTCAAAGTGTCATTTCACAATAAACGTGATTTAAAAGCAACAAGAACGAAATTGGAGAAGGAAATGGCAACTCACTCCTATATTCTTGCCTGGGAAATCCCATGGAGAAAGGAGCCTGGTGTGGTTGGGTCCATGGCGTCACAAGAGAGTCGGACATTGCTTAGCAGCTAAACAGCAACAATAAAATTAGCTTCAGGACTGTTTTTAATTAGTTGACGTTTGGATGACACATAATGTTTGTATTCTATAAGGCTATGAATTCAGTGTGCAGAGAGATGTTTTAAATCATAAAACTAACCAAAAGGTATAAAGACATTATTATATCTTAATGTTTATTTTTGGGTCCACAGGACAGGCACATCATGGACAGGTATCATACATCTCTCCACCAATTCACCTTGACTCTGACCTGGAAAGACCCCCTGTTAGAGGTGAGTTGTTGTATTCTTTTCTTTTTTTTAAAGAAAAAGAAATTCTATTCATTCTTTGAGGAAGACAATTAATTAAAGATGATTGTAAATATGTATCTTAAAGTGCAGTGCTTGTTTAAAAAAACCAGGAGGAAAATGGTTTGTAAGGAATATGATAACAGAGAGTAAGTCTTATTTATAAAATAAGATGTGAAATATTGTTTTGAGAAATGCTTGTTAACCAAATAAGAAAGGTGGCTCCATAGTGAAGGACTAATTGATAAACAACCGAGATTTAAAGATTGTCATATAATCATTACCTTTTTTATTGGAACTTTCCTCTTCTACTATCTTTTTTTTTTTTTTAGTAAATTAAGATGTCTTAAACTAAGTTACATTGACAAATTTATTTCCTTGCAAACTGACATCTTATGTTCTATTATTCTTTTAAAAACTTATTTTAGTATTAATAAAATTTATTTTTAAACTCTATAAATTGAAATTGTATATTTAAATTGATGCCATGTGTTTAAAGACTTTTAAAAATAACTAGTCATACAAAACAAATTAAAAGTAACATTTATCTCATCTACAGAATTTATCTTTCTACTTTTAAAGGATTATTAACAAAGTTTAATGTTCTATAATGTTTAATCTGATGTAATAATAGACACAACTTTTAATTTCATAAATACCAAATATCCTAAGGTTAATTTTTTTTACTTAAAGTAATATATTTTCTTATACCTTCAATAATATGCAATAAAAATCATTAGATCTGTCTTTTATGTCTCCTCTGCTAGGAGTCTCTTATTTTTTTCGTTTCTGCCCATTAAGTTTCTACCAGTGTTTCAATGCCCGGCTTTATCTCCACTTCCTGTTAAGCCTTTGCTGACTATGTGTTAGGCAGAAGCTAAGTGCATGCCTTTGTGCTCTGTGCCTGCCTCAGCTATTGTACCTAAAGCATTGCATTTTAGTTTTTCAGGCTGAATGTTTCCCTTTCTTTTTTATAAGATCCTTAGGGCAAAAGTGTCATAATTATTATTTCTCCTCCAACCACTGCTCTGTGCTTGGCACATAATGGGAAGTCATATAATGATTTCTGAATGTGACAATCTATATTGTGAAGGATGCATCCTTTTTTTTCCAAGAAGTAAGCTGAGCAGGAATAATAAGAGATTTGCCAAAGAGGACACAGAATGTACCCAAATATGGGTTTGTAAAGGTTGTGATATTTTTAAGGAAATGTGCTAGGCGCACAGTAAAATGGATGCAGTTTTAGAGGCAGAAACTGGAAAGATGTAATGAGGCAGACTATCAAGGATTCTGTGTCATATGCCAAGGAGTTTGTCTTTTATCCTGGAAAAAGAAAGTCATCAAATAATTTTAATTAAGTTAGTAGGGTGTTACATTATAACATTATCAGTTCTTGATATCAGAAAAATATCACTGTCAATGTAGATGATGCAAGATTGACAGAGAGAGGCTGATTCAATAATCCAGGTAAAATATGAATGGGAAATTAACAGTGTATTGGTGGCAGTGGTAGGGTCTGAGAAGTAGTTTGAAGAGACATAGCATTGATTGAGCAGATACAAGGGAAAGAGCAGAAATACCTCTAAGATTTCTATACTGATTAATTACCTGAATGCTTATAATGTAATTTCTCCTCATGAGGGAAATGTGAATTATGAATGGATACCTTGTTTTAACCTTGCTAATTCTTAGTAGAATGTCATTTCCACCAGAGTTGGAGGCCTACTTATGCAAGTTAGTGACTTTAATTCATTTCTTCATACATAGTCCCAGTATAATTTGGGAAGAGTACTGTACAGTCATGAGTAGAGTAGTGTAATAATCCACTCCAGAATTTAGTGGCTTAAATCAAGAAGCATTTTTTATAGTTCTCAGGGTTGTTTGCATTGCATGTGTACTGACTTGAGTGAGCCTGGTTGTTTAGTACTTAGTGGACTGGTTGGTTTTTCAGGGGAGAAAACTCACTTTCAGGTTTGGTAGCCAGCTTGATGCCATCTTGGGGCTTCCCTGGAGGCTCAGACGGTAAAGCATCTACTGCTACGGGGAGACCCAGGTTTGATCCCTGGCTCAGGAAGATACACTGGGGAAGGAAATGGCAACCAACTCCAGTACTGTTGCCTGGAAAACCCCATGGACGGAGGAGCCCAGTAGGCTGCAGTCCATGGGGTTGCAAAGAGTCAGACACAACTGAGCGACTTCACTTTCTTTCTTTGATATCCTCTGGGTGGTAGCCATATGACTCATCTTCTAGCAGGCTGGCACCGGATCATTCCCATTATGACAGGACTCCCAGCAGTAAGCAGGAAAGTCCCAAAGTTCAGGTGTTGTTCAAGACTCTGCTTCTGCCACGTTTGTTATGTCCTATTGGCCCAAGTCAGTCACATAACCATCCCCAGACTTCCGATATAGACTGCATCTCTTGAAGAAGGAACCACAATCTGAAGGAGTGTGGATAGAAGAAGGAGAGGAATTCAGGCCATGTCAACCTAGAGTATTCTTGCCTGGAGAGTCCCGTGGACAGAGTTGGACATGACCAAAGCGACTTACCACACATACAAGCAACCTACAAGCTAGGCAGATAGAATAAAATAAGTTTAGAGTAAAATTTGACAAAAATTGAGTGATAAAATAAAGGGATTTAGAGACAATAATTTTAAACTTGGGATTCTAGAACTTTCTTGTCTTTAATTCCTCAACTGCTACAAAGAAGACAGAAATAAGAACTCAACAGTGTCTTTGTGAGGATTAGGGATAACTAGATTAGAGTCTGGCATTTGATAAGCTCTAGATAAATTGTGGCTATTAGTATGTACTTTTGGGTTTGCTGTTGTGGCATATGGGAAGAAATTTGACCTTGAGGCCAGGCAGACCTGCATGATCTTAAGCAGCTTCTGTCTGTCATCTGTAACACAAGGATAGTAATGCAACCCTGGCAAGTTTATAAGGATGATTAAATGAAATAGTTAGTGTCAAGCTCCTGGCAAATAATTTGACATAAACTAGACTCTGAAGAGTTAGTTGGCATTATTAAGAGCTTCACTTTAAAGTGGCATCATCTTAGTAAAAGTAGTGATGATACTGACCTGGTGAAGAATGAATTACCAGAATCCAACAGTTTCTCTGCTTTATGAAAAAGTAGAAGTGTTGGTCCCTCAGTCATGTCCAACTTTTTGTGACCCCCTGGGCTGCAACCCACCTGGCTTATCTGTTCTTGGAATTCTCCAGGCAAGAATACTGCAGTGGGTAGCCATTCCCTTCTCCAGAGGATCTTTCCAACCCAGGGATCAAACTAGGGTCTCCTGTATTGGAGGTAGTTTTATTTGTTACCATTTGAGCCACCTCAAATTGTGCTCTCTACCTGAGAAGGATTGCCCTGATAACTTGTAGTTCTCAAATCTTTCTTCTATATGCCCAAGACCCTCTTAAACTACTCTGATTAATACAATTATAGTTATAGTTATTAGCTCGTGTGTTATAGTTCTGAACATTTTTTAAATGAACATTTTATTAGATAAAGAGGTTTGTGTAAATCACCAAAATTGTAGCACAAATGATCTTTTTTTATTATTATTAAAACTATCTAATATTTAATTTAAAAACAAATATTGGAAATAGCATAGAGTAGGCAATATCGTTACTTTGGAACCAAAAATATTTCCTTTCAACTATCACTCCTCATTTATCGTCATTTACTATTTTTAATTACACTGTATATTTTTTATGTTTTTATGAAGCCAAATGACACAAATGACCTATAAATTATCTTTATATAGAGAGAGAGTCTCTCATGCATATTATAGATTTTTATTTGAATATATGCAATAAGATAAATTAAGTTCTTTATTTTGGAATTCTATCTCTAATAATTTTTGTTAGATTATATAGCAATATACTTTGAACTACCTGAAAAACCACACTAGCTATTTTAGCTTTTCTTTTTCTACTTTTCTTCCATGATTTTATACATGTTGAGACTATGAGAGCTATGTCTTGATATCCACTCCCCCCCCCACTAATTTACAGTTCACTGTACACTTTCTCTCTCTTCCTATACCAGTTTCCACTAATGTACATGGATGTTCATGTTTTAGGAATTCTTGCTATATACATATTAATTCCTTGAGTATTTTACAGACTTGATTATATTTTCTTAGAATGACATACTTAAGTTTTTTACATCAAAAAAGCAATACAAAATAATATTTAGAATGTAGGAAAGAAAGCTCTGACAAAGCTAGACAGCACATTAAAAAACAGAGACATCACTTTGCCCACAAGGTCCATATAGTCAAGGCTATGATTTTTCCAGTAGTCATGGACAGATGTGAGAGTTAGGCCATAAAGTAGGCTGAGTACCGAAGAACTGATCCTTTCAAAATGTGATACTGGAAAAGACCCTTGAGAGTCCCATGGACTGCAAGGAGATCATACCAGTCAATCCTAAAGGAATCAACCCTGAATATTCATTTGAAGGACTGTTTCTGAAGCTGAAGCTCCAATACTTTGACCACTTGAGGTGAAGAGCCAGGTCATTGGAAAAGACCCTAATACTTGAAATGAATGAAGGCAAAAGATGGGACCGGCAGAGGATGAGATAAGTTAGCATCACTGACTCAATGGATAAGTATTTGAGCAAACTCCAGGAAGATAATGGAAGTCAGAGAAGCCTGGTGTGCTATAGTCCATGGGGTCACAAAGAGCAGGACACAACTTAACAAATGAACAACAGTAATAACAATATACTTACCAATGTTATCACAGGGGACTTTTTAATACAAAGTATGATTTATCCAACATACAATTATGTATCTGATTGCTTCTGATATTTTGCCATTTTATTCTATTCTCACCCCAAAGGTTTTGTATTACTTGCTACTATTCTTTTAATAGTTATTTTCCTTTTAGTATTTGAGATAGTGAACTAATTATTGGTAATTTTGGAATTATTTTTAAACTGATATTTTTAAAAAATAATTACATAATTG